CACTCTCTTTTCACTAAAAAATACTACATTTTTAAGAATGAAAATGAAATTCTCTTAGGAGAAGTATATATTTATTTTATATAAAGACCATTACAAAAATAAAATATACTATCAAACTCACTCCTTAAACTGTAATTGATTGGTCTATTAATCAACAAACTAAATAACTTAATGGATTTTGGTTAATTTGGAATAAAAAATAAAAGTTCTTCTTGATGGATGCAACAACCTGTAATATATTTAAATAGACTCTCAATGGTATAGTCACCTATGGAAAATATTCAATTCTTTATGAACCAATCAATTCTATATAATACAGTTCTTTTGGTTATGTAATTATGTCTATATTTTATAGATCAAATAGCTTTTAAAAATGAAATATCTTTATTCAAGAGATTCTTATATGTGTAAAACTATTAAAAAATCTATACAATATACAGATGAAGTAAAAGACAAATTATAATATTTAGGATTTCTATTACTAATTTGAAATCCTAAAATAATTAGATCATTCGAAAATCTTAAAGTTTAAAGAAGCATATAATAATAATAAATAATATCATTTTATTTTCGATTATCCAGAAGGAGGTTCTTTAGCTGATCTCATTAAGTCAAAATAGTTATAATTTGAAGAAGTCTAATAAATCATTAAAGTAAATTATATAATTTATTTAGTAATTAATATCAACTGTTTCCTTTATTCATTCAAAAGGATATGTCCATAGAAATTTAAAACCAGAACATATATTCTTCAAGGAATTGAATAATCTAGATACTCTTGTTATATCAGAATTTGAATTAGGATGCAAACTCATAGATTTCTAGAATAAGTAATTATTGTATTTTATTAATGAAGAAATCCAACTTGCAGAATTCATGGTTATACAGCACCTGAAATCAAATAGAAAATATTTAATTAAAAATGTGATATCTTTAGTTGTGGTGTTGTTTTATACAAAATGTATTAAATATTCATATAAATTTAGTCTAACAAGAAAAGATTTATTTGATCATGAATCAAATACATATGATGAAAAAATGATGTTACATTTAATCAATCAATCAGACATAGATTAATAATACTAGAATTTACTTAGAATGATGCTTCAATTTAATCCTGATTTAAGGGCAACAGCAGATCAGTGTCTAACAATAATTAATTAATTATCAAAAAGAACTCCTTCTTTCTCTAATATTCTCGATAAATCCCATATAGATACTAATAGCATAAATAATGAAATAATTTCAATTAAATTAAATGAGGATTTAGATGAACTTTCTGAAAATCATGACTTTATATAAAGGTTGCCTGTTATTCAAATAAATAAGAGAATTGAAATGTCTTATTGATTGTTAATTATTTTATATTTTATCACTTTCAACTTGAATATTTAATTACTAACAGTAAACAACAAATAAAAATAGACACTATTAATGCATTTATACATTTATTTGCTAATGGAGAATTTTGAGATTCTTCACTCTAAAATAGACTATTAAATATTACATTCTTTAGTTCGCAATTAGCCTTTTTTATATTTTTATATGCTTAATCTATATTTTAATCAATCCTATCCAAAAGATGACCTTGATCTAAAACTAGTTAATTCAGAGATTAAAAAACTTAAGCTAACTCATTAATCATCTAAACTAATTTATTTATCTCTTAATCACTATTTTCATTATTTATAGTTATATACTTATCTTATTGAATTTAATCATAAAGCTCTTCTTCTTATAAAGTTAAATTATTATTCTCCTTAAATTCTATTTATTTTTCCTCTTTTTTATTTAAAAAAAGTTCTATAAAATAATTAATAACACTTACTATTTTGATCTATGGATATGCATTTTATCATGGTTACCATTCTTTTCTATTAATTTCTCAAGAGACTTGCTGTTTCTGATATTTATTAAGATAAAGCAATGGAGATATTTTCTCTTACTTAAATGATACTATTGTATTTTTACTTCTTTTTTCACTATGAGATTCTAATGGGCTTTGATACTTTTAAATCTTTTAAGTGTTCTTTTCACATTCAAGAATTTTCTTAAAGATATCATAAAAATTTACTGTTGTAGCTATTTAGTTTTTTTCATAAATTAATTTTTCTATACGACTAGTATCATCAAATTACATCTTAATTCTTTTAATACCCAAAATTTATAATTCTTTAACTAATATAAAATAATAATATCTAGTACTTAATTCCTTAATTTGTCTTATATTTTCGATTGTGTGATAATAGTCCTAGGCCCATTCAGCTGAAAGTTCAAAGGTGGATGATTACAATTCTATTGAAATATTGGCATCTGTAGATACTGCAGAATTATTTTAAGAATTTTGTAATAAAGAGTTTTGTTCTTATGAATATCAATTTTAAAAAATTACTTAATGGGTTAGATTGATTAAGACCTTTAAATTTATTAGTTTTCAATCTTAGATTTTCTTTATAAGAGTTTAGAGTATGAGTTTTATTTTTCAAGAATCCCAAATTCTGTTTCATTCTGATATGAAATTAATTAAATTAATAATAATAACTAAAAAAAGTATTTGCCATTAAAAAATAAAATAATTTAACTATATCAAATCAAAGTTTTATTGATTCATTTCTACATTAAAGTACTTGTATTTATAATATTATCTCACTTTGAAATTGTTTTATGATATTCTAAAATAATAAGAGGAAATTGATACCCAAATAATAATATTAGGGTATTTATCAGTCCAAAAATAATAAGATCGGAAGAAAATGTCATTCAAAGTTATTAATTATAAAATTAGATGATTATTTTAAATGATTTTTATTATGATTATAGATTGTATAATCTTAATAAATCAAGTTTTAAATCTAATCATATTTTTATTGTTAAATTAATGGGAAGTACTTGCTGCCATAAATAGCTTTAGGCATTCTCATCTTAGGGTATATGAGTAATATTATCAAAAACAGAATTAGTATGTGATAACAATAATGTTTCTATTAATAAGAAGTCTAATCATAAAGAAGAAAGTCCAGATGGACCTCCTTCAAAATTGCCTTCTTAAAGTGTTTCTGTTCCTTAAGTGTATGAGGAAGCTTTGGTGTTTAATTAGTTGAATCAAATAAATAATACTAAAGGAGCTATAAGTGAGGAGAGACTTTTAATAGATTTGAAGGAGCCTTTTGACGCTTCAGAAAAATAAGATGAAATAGATGAAAGAAAGGAGGATCTTGTAGCAAAAAAGGATGAAGTAGATCAAAATCAGTTAGAAAAAATAGTTTAAGCAGAAAAATTGGAGATATAAAATGAAACATAGTAAAAGCAGTAATAAGATACAGGAACAAGAAAGTCTCCGGCAGCTTCCTCAAAAACAGTACCTAATGATCCTAAAGATAATAGTCAAAGCAGAAAATAGAGTATGGTTTCAGTAGGATCAGTGTCTGTAAAATTTGGAGTAGAATTATTCGTAAATTTAAAAAAACAATCAATAACTAAAGTTTACACTCTCGGTTAGGTTTTAGGTTAAGGTGCATTCGGAAAAGTTTGGAAAGTAACACACAAAACAACAGGTATAAATATTTTAGTTATTTGATGAGGTTTAATTAGAGCTATGAAACAAATTAGAAAGTAAGAATTAATTAAGGAAGATGAATAAAAACTGTTTTCAGAGATGAACTTGTTAAAAAATCTATAACATCCTAATATTGTTAAATTGTATGAATTGTATCAAGATTCTAATAATTATTATTTGATTACAGAGTATTAATTATATAAAATTTAGATATTTATGCGGTGGAGAATTGTTTGAAAGAATAAAGAAAATGAATTCATTTACTGAGAAAAGAGCTAGTGATTTAATGAGATAAATATTAATGGCAGTAGTGTATTGTCATGAATAAAAAATTGTACATAGAGATTTAAAACCAGAGAACGTTCTATTTTCAGGTACTGAACCTGAAGCATTAATAAAGATAATTGATTTTGGATGCTCAAGAAGATTTAATTCCTAAAAGAATATGACCAAAAGATTAGGGACTGTATGTTATAAAAATAAATATTAAGCCATATTATATAGCACCTGAAGTCTTAAATCATAATTATAATGAGAAATGCGATGTATGGTCGTGTGGTGTTATTTTATATATCTTATTATGTGGATATCCTCCATTTACAGGAAAAAATGAGAATGAAATTTTTGAAAAGGTCAAAACTGGAAAATTCAAATTCCCAAGTATATTTTTAATTTTGATTTTGATTAGTTGAGGAATGGGATTCAATAAGTAGAGAAGCAAAGAACTTAATTCAAAGAATGTTATAAGTAGATGTAACCTCAAGATATTCAGCTTCACAAGCATTAAATGACCCTTGGATCTCAAAGCATGCACCTAATACCTAAATAAATTAAAGAGTTCTTGAAAATTTGGCTCAATTTTAAGCCAAAAGCGAATTTAGAGCTGCAATTGTTTAATATATTATTAGTCAAATGACTACTAATAAAGAATTAGAAGATCTTTAGAAATCATTTCAGATTTTAGATAAGAATAAGGATGGAGTTTTAAGTAAAGCAGAATTAGTAGAAGGATATACTAAAGTTCTAAAAAGTAAAGAATAAGCTGAAGAATATGTTGAAAAGATTATTTCTAAGCTTGATAAGAATTAATCAGGAGTTATTGAATTTAATGAATTTTTAATGGCTGCAATAAATGAAGAGAAGATTATTTCAATAAAAAAGGTTGAATAAGCATTCAAGATATTCGATTCTGATGGAGATGGCTTTATTAGTAGATAAGAAATAGAAGAAGTTATGGGAGAATTAAATACAGATGTTTGGAAGTTATTTTTAAATGAAACAGATGGTAATAATGATGGTAAAATATCTTAGGAGGAATTCTCAAAATTAATATTGAATAAATGAATAAATTTTATTTTTATACTTCTTAACTATTTAAAATAAAAGCTAATTAAACACAAATAATGAAAGCTTCAAGATAGTTCAAAAAGCATTGATTTAAGTTTCATTGAGCTGATTATTCCAACACTAGTTTATCCTCTTCAGCATATTCTATATCAATGAATTAAAATTGCTAAGATATATTTGATACATAATCTAGAGATCGATATTCACTCTTACTAATATTACTTATAAGATCCTCAAGAGTTCTGATTGTTATTGGTTTAATGTAAACTTCTCTCATTCCTGAATCTAATAGTCTATTTATTTCATCCTCTCCAGAGAATCCAGTTAATCCAAATATTGGAATTGGTGGAATATTTTTATCTTTGCAAATCTAAGTAATATACTTAGTAGCTTCTTCACCATTCATTATTGGCATTTAATAATCCATTATTATACCTTTATATCCCTTACATTTATGTTCTTAAAATTGTTCAAGCATTTTTTCTAATATTTGGATACAATGTTTACCATTTTCCGCCTTTACTACTTAGTGTTATAATTTCTTCAAAAGAGATTCTAAAACTATTAAATTATATGGTTCATCATCAACAATCATAAAGGTATTTTCACATTAGCATAAATTCTTGGTGTGAATTTAAGTTACTGTAGACCATGGACTCAATTTTAAATTGAAATTGTTATATGAATGAACTATTCCTTCATTTTCAACACTAGATTCTTTTATTATTAAATCACTTGAAAAATTCTCTCCTGAAATTAATCTTATTTTTATATGCATCTAAACAATTGTACCCTTATCAATATCTGAATCAATAGATATGTAATTTAAATTATCATCTTTACCTGATACGTTCTTTATTAATTAATTTGAAGCACGTAATCCAAGCATCATTCCAGATGATGCGTCATTGGAATTTCTATCTACTTAGAAATCTTCCCCATTAAGTAAAGATCTGATTTATTCCAATCTTTCTGTTGTCATTCCTAAACCATTGTCTTTTACTTCAATCATATAAACATCTGCAAGATTAGTGGATAAATTTCCAATAGAAGAAAGTTAACTGGCCATCTTGTATTTACTATATGTTCTGCGTTATTTATTATTTGAAGAATCATGGCAAAATTCGCTTCCACTCATTCTCTGTTATTGAGGAGATTAGGAATGTGGGATTTAAAATTTTGAATGTCGATGAATTTATACTTTATTATCAGGCACTTAAATGTAACTATTAGTTTAATAATTATTGTTATTAGTATTACTTAGATCTTTTTATAATCTAACCGAAATTAATCCATCAGATTTACTAAACCTAATGCTATTAGAAATAATATGAATGAGTATGCTTTGAAATTTCTCTGAATCCAACAATTCATAGTTATTTGTCTGTATTTTATCTTCATATTTAATCTTTACATTTTTTAGTTCTGCCTCATCTTTGAATAATTCTATAACTTCTTAAATTAACATATTAATTTTAATTTTATCTAATTTAATTGGCAATTATCTTTCCCTCAATAAATTATAATCTATTATTGAACCAATAATAAAATTTTAAATTCTGCAATTATTAAAAGCTGCCTTTAAATATTTCTATACTTCTCTATCAAATTTCTGATTGTAATTTTAAACCATCTAAATCATACCTTAAATAGCATTCAATCTAGTCCTTAATTCGTGAGATATGGATCTTATTACTTTACTTTTAAACTAATTCAAATTCTTATAATATATAGACTTTAAATTAGTTGATATATCATAAAGATTTATTAAAGTTGCATGTTTATTATCTTCATATTATAAAAGTGTTTTCATCTTTACTTCAATTACAACTTTCTAAGATTCATCATAGGCTTATTCTGGGCGGTCTATAAATTAACATCTTAAGGTATATATTTTTCCTTAAGTCTTTTTGTCAGCCTTATTGATATATTCGATTATTTAATTTAAGTTTAATTATTCCTCATCCTGATTATCCAGATTGAATTTGCTAGAATCAGCTGGTAATTAATTTTTAACTTCTTCTATATTTGCAAACATTTAAGAAAAAAATAAAAATATCTCATCATAATTGTTCATGATTGATGGTTGTGTCTCAAACAGATAGTCCTATTTGACAGACTTAGTCATAAATGTTTTTGTCTTTGTATTTGATTTATCTATCAATTTTTTCATGTATCTATTTGAAAATAAAACCTGTTAGCAATCAGAATTCAATATACAAACTGCTGTTGGTATGCTTCTTAGAGATTATTCAGCAAAATGCTTTATTTTACTCAACCTAATTATCTGCTGATCCCAATAATAAACTAATAAAAAATTCAAAAAAGCAATATTATATGTGAACTAATATTAAAATATAGCAAATTCGGTTTTATAGCCTAAGTAAATAAAGAATTTGACTAGAATCATTAACCTTATTTTGAAATTGTTCATTGTTGCCATAACGATTAGCATAATTGTAAATATTAATAATATCCCAATTACTCTTTATAAACTTGAATATTCCATTAGCATTTGAGATAAATATAGCTATAAAAGTGTTTCCAATATAATAAAAATAATTTATGTAAGTGCTACTTTCTATTTTTTGGATAATTTTTGGATAATCCATCTATCGTAAACTATCATAGCTAAAGGAAGCAAAATTAATAAATATGTATAAAGAGTGACAGTCTAATTATTATACTCTTCAAATCCTTTGATATTATTTATCATCATCAATACAATACTATAAAGCAAATAGATTTTCATTATAGTCACAAACAGCGGCCAGAATTGAGAGATTATTAACTCATTCTGGCAATCAATGTAAATAGAATCATTATAATCTTCGTATATTTCTAATGCTAATCTTTTTTATTTTCTTAACCATACTAACATTGCTATTTTATATAAAACAACTATAAAAATTATATTTTATAATTAATATTCTTTTTCATTTGTTCCTCTCATTGATTCCTATCAATTCTTTCTCATATGTTTTAAAATATTTAGTTCTAACAATCGCTGAGAAAAAGAATATTATTCAAATATTTGTGGTCTTCTCGTGAATTAATCTAGCGTTATGTAAAACAGTAAAACAATCTCATATATTGAATTACATACTATTATGAAATTTAAAAATATTATAAGTATTCTAACATATTTTGTCATATACATAAAATTATCATAAATCGCATCAAATAGTATAACAAAGTTGTCATAATTAATTTGGATTCATTATAAAAAAAGTTATAAATCAAGTAGAAAATATAAATTCATCAATACAAAAGTATAATCTCATAAAAAGCCACCCAATCAGTAACATAAATATAGATTTTAGGTTCACCAAAATTTCATTATTTTAAAATGTTTAATAAGTCTATTATAATCAATAATTGATTTTTAAATTATCTCTTTTGCAATATTTTCTACATTATTAATAAGAAAAGAGAATAATATTTCTTTGATTTTTAAACAGTATTTTATTGAATTATCAAAAATTATTATTAATTAAAATATCAACCTTAAAATAAATAATGATATTCTAGGATTCCCCAAAAAACTTTAAAATTGTAGAAGTTAGATATAAATAATTGAATTATTTCTACTCTTTCGAATCTTACAAAAAGAGCTATTTAGGATAGTATCTAATTGAGCCATTGAATAAGATTATGAAGTCATTATGAATAGAATATTTTGAGAACCATTTAGAGACCTTAAACGATTGAGGAATAGATTAAAGCAAAAATGTAAAGAACTGTCTAATAGATGATCTAAAAAAGGATTGAGCTTTGTATTTATTTTCTGGATTTTACTCTCTCCTTAGTAACTTAATAATTTTAGTCCTTCAATTAATATTTTAGTGATTTAAAAATCACTATGTTGTACTTAAACTACATAGAGAAGGAAGGACTATTATATAGTATTCTAGAATAAATGTAAAAGCAAGGATTAGATTTGACAAGTTTAATTTGATTAAGAGGGAATTTATAACTTTGAAGAATTTGTGAATATCTGATGTCCTTGATTATGACAGATACCATTTTCTTAAATTATTAGAATATAAAACTCTTTAAAAAGCAAATCCTATTAACAATCTAGAAAAAATATTCTACTCTATTTTTGAATTCATTATATGCCTTTTAGAAGAGAATAAATTTGTAGATTCAAATGAAGTCTAATTCTTGTTATTGATTTTTCTTAAAGTATTAAATCCACAAATGACGATGCTTTTCTCAAATTCTTAATACCTAAAGGAAATATAGATGGCTACTTTCTTAAAAGCACAATCAAGCTTGAAAAAACTATCAGTTTCTTAAAAGTATGAAATATGTTCCTAAAAACATCTTTTTCAAAAATATGGCAATTTCTCCAAATAAAAATTCTTCTATTCTTATAAATATAATAATCAACACATTTTTTACTTTTTCTTTATTTAAGGAAGCGTTCAATCGAATTTTAATTGTTGAATAAATGAAAAATAAAAGCGATATCACGTAAAATAGAATTAAGCAGTATTAGACAAAAAATGCTTGAATTAAAGTTAGGATTGATAATGGTGAAGTTATATATTCTATTCACTTTAATATTGGATCAAATTAGAAATTATTCAGGAAAGAAAAAAGAAATTGAAAATTTAGAAAAAGTTAAGAAAGTTAAAATAATGATTAAACTATAACATACAATAGGTGGAATGAAATTTTAAAGATATCACTAATACCATAAGTTTTCATATAAACTTGCTCATTATTTAAAAGTAGAAGAATGGAGATTTCAATTTTTTATTAAACTAAATTAAAGTAAATTGAATATTTTGCTTGATAGTAATCAAGTTACTACTTATTTATAACTAGCTATCCTTATCATGGAAAAGCTATTTGAATGCCTGTACACAAACATTAAAAAATCATGAAAATATTAAATATTCTGTAATAGGGAGTTTATACTTTTATAATTGGAGAATATGAAGAATAACAACAAAAATTTTAAGATTCTATTCCCTATTTATCATTTCAAAGAAAATTCTAGGTAATTTGATAACAATCTTTTAAAAGATTATTAATTTTATTATAAAGAGTTTCTTATTTTCAATTGATGTCAAAAGAGGCAGAAATATAAATTTGAATAATAATAAAAATGGTATTTCATTACTATAAATTGTTGTCTTTATTTAAATATTACAAATAAAATAATTATTCGGAATGAAATTATTTTGCAATTTAGAGATAAAATCTTAAGAGCTATTACAGAAAAATAATATAACTTATGTTCTGTTATTATATTGATAATTCAGATCTTAAAAATGACATCTATATTTTTTCTCTCTAAATTTCTTACTATTTCTTTCTACTCCATGGTTGTAAAGATCTACATACTTTAAGATACATCGATATCAACCTCTTTTGTATTTTTAAAGTTTAAACTTAATAAAATTGTTTCTAATTTCTCTTTTTCAAATTCACACATTTTCAATACCATTTTTAGTTTTTTCAGTGTATTGAATCGGAATTGTTAAAAGTCTAATCTAATATTTTCAAAAGTAATATCCAAAATATCAAGTCGTGTTGTTAAATTTTTTGAAAATTCAAATATCTGTATATCTGCCTTATTATAAAGCGATAACTTGAATACTTTCATCTCAGTAAACTTTGCTAATAATTCATTACATTAAGACAATCCAAGATTTCCAGAAACTTCAAAATAGAATTGCTCAAAATTGTACCTGTCTAAATGTAAAAATTCTTCCTTTATTTCTAAAATAAATTTTGAATTCTTTTTTTATCTTAATACTGGATTAAATGATTTTTCTTATTTTATTTTTTAGAAAAAGGAATAAGAAAATGCTTTTAGAGAATGTTATCTTTCTACTAAAAATTCCATATTTTTTAATTCTGAAGCTTCAATTTATATTTGTAAGAGTTGCAATTATGATGGGCAATGCTTTATAATAGCATTAAGATAATGAGTATGATGAGGGTCTACTTCGTCTAAAGAAAAATTAAGTTTTAATTAATAAATTCTACTCGCTATAAGACATCTGATAAAATCATTAACTTCAGATCCCATTAAAAAAAATCTTTATGCATCATCTATTTCCAATTTATTTTCTATAGATGCAAGAACAAGTCTAACCTATGCCAGTATCTTCTCTCTTTGTAAATCTTTATAATCAGTAAAATCTAAGGTTTTCAAATTAATTTTCAAAATGCAACTTTCTTTTATAAATCTTTCGTTAGCTTTCGACAATATTGAAAAGGATTTAGGATATTCTAATTCCATTTAATTTGAAATTGAATTAAAATATAATATAGATTATAAGAATTATTCTTCAGAAACTCTACTTAAAATTAAAGCTGGAATGAAAAAGTCTTAAATAAGAACTTTTAATAACTCTTTTAATGAAATTAAACTCTCTTTTACTTGCTAAATTATAGCAGGAATTACAGCAGGATTTACAAAAAATGAACTCTTGTCCTTTTATAATACTAATATATAAATAAAGCACTAAGGAAGCTTATTTAATACTTCCTAAACATCTGTTGCCCAAATAACTGCCTAATAAAATGGTTAATATTTTATTTGCATTACACTTCTTGGATTAACTTATACAGACTTTTAGGAAAAAATTGAAATAGGAAGACTACCTTCAAATTTTGAAGCATAATTTTTGAACTTTATGTAAGCTTCACCATTAAATTCTCTTCTCACAAAATCAGAAAATTATTTTACGGCTAAATACAATACAATCATTATGATATCCCATATCTTGAAAAAGTTAAATATACCATATAAAAGAACATATTCTATTTAGTATAATGGTGTTAAATTTTTAAATACTCTTGACTAAAAGATTGCAAATAGTAACAACTATATAAATGGATGAACTAATGTTAAAACTATTAACGCTGTAGTAAAATTATCTGAATTGGTACTCAAATAATAGAGAGAAACAATTTATAATGACCCATTAAGCATAGAGTAAAATGATTGAATAGATGCATGACATTCATTCAATTCTGCTAAGCTTTGATAATAATCATACAACGTTAACAAAAATTTATATTTCCCTATATATTCTTCAAATATTGCTCTTTTGGTTAAGCAATCTATTTTAGCTTATGCTTCTTCAACAATCTATTCAGGGCTTTCATATATAATTGATTTAATTGCCTCTTAATTTTAATGATTATCCACACCAAAAGATCCTTTAGAGTATCTTCTTGATGTCTAGTATTCTTTTGGAATAAGCTTCATAAAATATTCTGTTATTTTAATATAATCATTTTTAATAAAATAATTCTATTACACAGCTTACCAACCAGAACTTATTTTAGGATTTTCAATTAAAAGTAAATCCTAAACTTTCTCTTCTTCATCATTTATATCAATCTAATCAGCATCCCATTCAGCATCAATAATGCTGTTTTCTTAAAATTGAAGAGTTAAATTAGGAAAATTTTATTTTTAAAATATACTTTTCAAACTTTCTAAATTTTTTTAATCATAATATAACAAACTTATTCTCTATACTTAAATTAATTTTAGGCAATTAGCCAAATAATACAATGTAACTTCTTCATAACAATCAATATAATGGAATTAGATATATTCAATTCTTTTATATCTTGTTAAGAAAGTAAGGATTAAAACCATACATACTTTCTTTTGATAAGAACTTAATTTACTTGAGTCTATATGAAAATAAAAAGACTTAATAAATCCAATTTTTTGTTAGTCTGCTTTCAATAATTGTTTAGTTTCTTCAAAATACTTTAATTTTATTTTCTTCATTTTAAATTCTAGTTCAGTTTGCATAAATCTAGAAGTTGTAGTTATAATAATGAAGTATAATTCAAAAAGGTAATAGATTAAATTGATTATTAATAAAATAAAGCTCACAGTATTGAATCCATCCCATTTAGATTTTTCTGAATTGTAAAAACCTTAGATAAAAATTTAAGGAAATGTTT